GTGTGTGTGTGTGTTTGCAGGTGGCTCTGATGTCTCATTCAGTAGTCCTTCAAAGAGCGGAGCCTTTTTGTGGAGGATCTCTGCTCAGTGAATTGTGGGTCATAACCGCTGCCCATTGTCTGACACAAGCTAGTATTGATAAACGAAGTTTCTTCGTCAGAGTGGGTAGGAAAAACTAATACTTTCTAAACACTCTAAATTCTACATCTCTGATCCATAACTCATAAAGTACAGAAGACCATGGTAAGGTATCCTATAAATACCTATGTGTTTTATTTTGCAGCTAGGTAAAGTGTTAGTAAGACCATCAATGTACAATTTCTTTTCTTCTTTTACATCTTCTCAGCTTCATGAGGAGTAAAACTACTTTGTTTGGTGTGTTTGTTTTTTTTTAAATTTGATGTTACTTGCTTTCATTTTATGCAGTAATCTGACTTGAGAAGGTGCTAGATGCATCACACACATTGCCTGGTGCAGAAAATGATATAATCATGTTATAATATATAAGTCTATACTTCTAGGTGAACATGACGTGAGCAAGAAAGAGGGTCCAGAGCGGGATTATCAAGTGGAAAAGAAGCATATCCATCACATGTACAATTTCAGTAAGTCACCGTATAACCATGATATTGCACTACTGAAGCTTGCCAGTCCGGTGGAACTGTCCAACCAACGGCTTCCCATCTGCCTGGGCCCCAAAGACTTTATTGAGAACCTATTGAGGGAGTCCAGCAGCTCTCTGGTGAGCGGCTGGGGACGGCTAAGGTTCCTGGGCCCCGAGGCCACCAAACTTCAAAAGCTGGAGGTGCCCTACGTGGACCGCACCCTGTGCAAACAGAGCAGTCGGGACCACGTCACACGCTTTATGTTCTGTGCTGGCTACCAAAGTGAACAGAAAGATTCATGCCAGGGAGACAGTGGGGGGCCACATGTCACCAATTATAAAGGCACTTGGTTCCTGACAGGCATCGTCAGCTGGGGCGAGGAGTGTGCCAAGGACGGGAAGTACGGCATCTACACTCGAGTCTCACGGTACTACCTGTGGATCAGTCAGACAACAGGGATCCAAATTAACTAACTGACAAATGGAGTCCATGTGTGGGAATAACACAGCTGTCAGCCAGCAAAACATGCATAGCATTTGTCTAGTTAGCCACTGGAAAAGTCAGTTTTACTACTACTGAATAATCAAGTGAGAAATCATTCATGTTCATTTTGATTATCCAATAAGAGTATTTTGCATGTTGTTTGAAATGTTGCAAAATAACACCTTGTATGCAATTGTAT